TTGATTATATAAGCATCAAAAATTGGCGCCTCTATGTATAGATTGGATGTCTTTTACTGTCCCGTACTGTATAAAAAGAAATTATATTTTAACCCGGGTCAAAATGATCCTCAGCAAAATTTTAGAGTTAGTGCGGGCCAGAATTATGTTGATGCCGGTCAAGGTTTTTTTAATATAAAATCCGGCCGGAATTAACATATTTCTGGCCCGCACTAACCCTAAATTCTAAGTGGAATCATTTTGACCCGGGTCAAAATAGAATTTCTCTTCTATACTATATTTTATATCAAGAGTTTTATTCTTTATTATTTCGAGCAAAGCATTAATAGTTTGATTTGTTCTAAAAAAAATCATTATTATAAACGAATCTTCACTATATCGAAGGTTCTTTAACGAGAGTGACTTGTAAAGTGCTGTATGTAGTCCGGATGATCCGATTTGTGATATTTTTGAACCAATCTTATTGAGATTTATTAATAGAGACGATCACCTCTGAGCATACTTATTATATATATAAGTTATATATGTTAAAGTTCGAAGTCCGAAATATTTGACACAATCAAAACATTTTATCTTTCGAACTTTCGATCAGTAGTTTGTCATTCCTAAATCTTCATGGCAACAGAAATAAAGAAAGTCAAGTTAACTTCTTCAGAAGGAACGGAATTCATAATCGATCGAAAAGTAGCGGAAAAATCCGTTCTATTGAAGAATATGTTGGAAGATGTTGGCGAAAGTGATATGGGTAAGAGTTGCAGCAGTTGTTATTAGTGGTACACATAAAGCAATAGTAGAGAGGTGTTATCTAAATATTGAGAGACAAAGATTAATATTTAATCTATGTTTACTTAATAAAGGTGCGTTTTACTTGTAAGATATTTTGGAAACTTACATTAGCAATACAAAAAAGAAAGCTGAATAGAAGGATAATTTATAGAAAACAGAATTCATATAAGTTGAATTTTAGAATTATTATACGCATGTCTTTAAAATGTATAACTTTTGATCTATTGGATTTTAGCGATTTTGGACTCGTTGGGAATCATCAAATGGATTCAAAGTTATTCAAATTCAAAGACACACATTATTAATTGTAATTCCAAAAATCAGCAGATATGTATTCAAGTTAAAAAAAAATATAGATATATATATATATATATATATATATATAATTAATGAGATTCATTTTTGATCACATCAAATAATAGCGATACCTTTACCAAACGTTACCGGACCTATTCTCAATAAAGTTATTGATTACTGCACACATCATCAAGATGATCCGTTCGTAAGTCAAGAAGATGATAGTAAGAAAGTGAGCGATGATATTGACGATTGGGACGCAGAATTCTGCAAGGTAGATCAAGGAACATTGTTCGAATTAATTCTGGTGAGGATTATTTTTTAATTGTTTACTGCAAAGTGTATACGCATAATTATTATTATTATTATTATGATTGCTAACATGGTTTTAATTTTTATTAAGTCTGCTAATTACCTCGACATCAAACCTCTCCTTGATCTCACTTGCAAAACTGTCGCCAACATGATTAAAGGAAAAACACCAGATGAAATTCGCAAGACTTTTAATATCATAAATGACTTTACACCAGAAGAGGAAGAACATGTTCGTAAAGAGAACGAATGGTGTGAAGAACGATGATTTGCGGTTATCGGTACACAATTTTTTTTTTTCATTTCAGGAATAAAATTTGCACATGAATTCAATAGTTCGTCAGTTATTTTTTTTCAACATAGTATAAATATTGTTCTGTTCCCTTTATTTTTGTTCAAGATCTGTCAACCCTTTTTTTGATCCTGGTTCGATCAATACGAATAAATTAACAGGCATATTCAGATGTTGTCAAATAAACACACATTACCTTTTGAGTAAATTTTTTGAATCCGGTTTATTAAATTTAAAATTGAAAATGTAGTGATGTTACACTAAATGTATTTATTTATATATGCACAGAACATTCTTAATGCTAACATTTGCGTTAAGGCTTAAAATATATGAAATCGACGCTTAAAGTATACAAGTATACTAAAATACCAAACAAAATAATTTCAAGGTTTTAATACTTCTTAGAAGGTGATTCGACACCTTTACGACTTTCAAAGAATTCCTTATTAATAGTTATAAGCTAGGATTATATAAAATAAAATTTAATTCAGAGTAATGACTCAAGATTAAGGACGAAAATAAGAATCAAATCTGAATAAGAACACATACTTTTGGATTCTCGTGTTGTTTAACATTGTTCCAAGGTAACGGGTGACCAATCCTGTTAACCATTACTTCCGGACTGTTTCGCAAACAGTACAAAGAATACCTATTTATCGTAATCAAATTTCAAATTGTTATCCAATTATTTATGAATCACGTGGATTTTAAATATTAATATCGATATTAATTGATTACATTAAATTCATCTTTAAAATGACATTTTCTAATTATTAAAATCAACTAACGCTATCAATTAACAGGTAAAACACTTACAGAAACCCACCCCCAACACCACCGCCACAAGCGACAAATAGAGGAATGAGCTGTTTATAAAGTCAAAAAAATAACCAATTAAATTTTTGGAAATAAACGTAATATAAAATACTATGAGAATACAAAAATAGCTAATACACATACAGCCGGATTCTTTGAAAAAAAAGCAGAAAATGAAGACATAATTACGCTTTTTAATTACACCTTACGGATTTTTGAAACAATTTGGAAGGAGAATTACGTGAGAATTTGTCGTTTGGCACTTTTTTATGATTTTTATAATATGCCACAATTCACGTGATTTGGTTAGCCATCGTCAGGAAAAGTCTTACGTTACGCACGGTTAAAAATATCTAAAGTGCATATACATTTTGTAATTTTAATCTGCAAGATGTAATTGGTGTTCAAAACACAAAAATGTTAGTGGAACAGGTAAAAACATCTTTTCTTTTTTAATGTATAAATATATGCACAGTCATGAGTTCTCAACTTTGGCTCGATATAAAGATATAAAGAAATCTAAAGATAACCAATTTGTATAAACATTACCAGTTTGGTTGGTGCATTTATCAGGTTAGCCTCGTAGCACAACCGAGGGCGTACAGGTTTCCTTAAACCTCAGATTTTCCAAGCCACTTTCTTTTTACCATATTTATACCGTAGTCGTTCTTTTAAGCTATTCGTTTTAAAGATAAAAGGCCTTCTATCCATCCAACTTTTAATACTCTCCTTTCGCACAAGTAAAACCTGTTTACAATCTCCCCATTTCTTCTTATTATTACTTATTACTCTTATATTCCCTAAAAATATTTGCTTATTGATCGAAATATTATTTCTACAATCTCTCCGCTTTCAATATTAAAATGCCTGCCGACCAACAACAAAAATTTACCGGTCATGTTGGTAGCTTAAGTCCTCAACAAACTGAAACCTTGGAAAAGTTCCGTAGTGAACTAAATCAAGAGGGTGTCTTTGACGCAAGACGTCACGATGATGCCTGTCTACTTCGATTTTTACGTGCTAGAAAGTTTGACCTTGCTAAAGCTAAAAAAATGTTTTTAGATTGTGAAAAATGGAGAAAAGACTTTGGTGTTGATGAGTTGGTCAAATCTTTCGATTACAAAGAACGAGATGAGGTAATGAAACATTACCCTCGATATTATCACAAGACAGACAAGGATGGACGCCCAATCTATATTGAAGAAATTGGAAGGATGGATGTGAAAGCCTTGTATCAAATTACCACTCTTGAACGTCAAATGCAAAATTTGGTCGTCGAATATGAGAGACTTGCAGATACTAGACTTCCCGCTTGCTCTAAAAAGAGCGGAAAGCTCATCGAAACCTCCTGCACTATCCTTGATCTTAAGGGTGTTTCCTTACGTTCTTTTGCGAGTGTATCTAGTTTCGTTAAACAAGCATCAAACATTGGTCAAAATTATTATCCAGAACGAATGGGAAAATTCTATATCATTAATGCTCCTATGCTTTTCTCTTCGGTATGGAATTTTGTAAAACCTTTGTTGGATGAAGTCACTGCTGCAAAAATTGTCATCTTAGGTTCGAAATATAAGCAAACATTATTGGAAAACATCCCTGCTGAAAATCTACCTACCGCCTTTGGTGGTACATGTGAATGTCAAGGAGGTTGTCAACTTAGTGATGCAGGTCCGTGGAATGAGGATCATCCGCAAGAAAATGGTCATGTACACGAAAACGGAACTGCATCAGTTGCTTAAAAAATGAACACTTCTTTGAATGTATTTTTGAATAGATTTTGTGGTATTTGTTTTCCATTTTTCTTTTGTCCATTTTTTGTTTTTTTTTATTCTTTGGTCCCAATTTCCTTTTTTCTCGTTTTTCTCTTTACATTAGAAAAGTATTTTTTTTGTACATATCAAAGACTAAATACTTTATTTAATTCTGCTGCTTATTTCAAGCGTTAAGCATTTATATAATTTTTCTTAGAGCCACGGGAAAATGTTAAAAGGGACTTATTAATTTTTATAAATTTGTTTTTAATACCATCGATGTACCAGTTTTATTTTTTAGTTTATACATTTTACCGTGGGGATCGAACAATTTTACTATTTCATAACAAAAATATAGAATAATACACTATTTTTTGTCTAATTAAAACTGGTTACATCCATTAAACAATATATATAAACACTTACAAATACGATATATCAATGTTCTCGCTTGTGTTCTTTACAATTTCTTAAATTTCTTAGGATTTGTGCAACCTAATATTTTAATCTATCCAACAGTTATTGATTACCGAGCGATGCATATTGTTGATGAGACTTCATTAACGACATCTATTATTGCCTAAGAACATCAATGATCTTCCACCTTATTTTTTGTTTTCTATCTAAAGTTACTTTTTTAATTGTAAATTTAGCTGCGGTAATTCTGTAATTTACGTTACATTTGGCGTTACAATTATGCAAACATATCGGATATCGTAAATCATGTCTAAAGTATATACAGAAATATTCGCATGAACTAGAAAGCATTTGACTGGCAACTTATCGACCTTATAAACGTAAATTATATTTCTTATCAGACTTGTAAATTATTTTATTCGATTTGTCAACGAAAGAAGCAAATATGACAACAAGTAAAGTGAACAAAGTGCCGATAGTTTATCATCAAACATATAATATTGCCTTTTGGCATCTCGAAAAGGTCCGTGGATCTGATTCTTGTTCAAGCTTGTAAAAAAATGGGTTATCAATTTTTATTTTTATTTTTTTCTAGGTTCATCCTTTTGACACACAAAAATATAAACGCATTCATAGAATTCTTATTTCAACTGGTATTTTTGATTTAACCTCTTTTTATGAACCCTCTCCACCGACTCAACTTGATTTAGCCAATCTTCATTCCTCTCAGTACCTTGATTCCTTAAATAGTAGCTCTCAGCTACAAAAAATTTTAGAGGTACCGTTTGTGGCAATTTTACCACATGTTTTATTAAAGAAAAAAATCTTAGATCCTATGCTATTACAAACTGGTGGAAGTGTTTTGGCTGCAGGTGACTTTTACACCCTAAAAGTCGTAATTAATATTATCTTTATCACATTTGAAATTTAATATTTTAATTGTATTTTTCAAAAATATGAGAACTTGCATTGGAATACGGTTGGGGTATTAATTTAGGAGGTAGGCCATTATATATTTATATATACCCATTTTTTAATTCATCTTCATCTTGCTTTCCATTCATTGTACATATTCTATAGGTGGTTTCCATCATGCTCATCACGATGGAGGTGGTGGTTTTTGTGTCTATGCGGATATTACTTTAATGGTGGAAAAAATACTAAGTAAATATCCAAACAAGGTTTCAAGAATTATGATTGTGGATTTAGATGCTCACCAAGTATATAATTTGTAATTAATAACCTTTTTCTAAAAAAATTTTTTTTTTTACTTATTCTAAATACTTTATATATTTCAGGGAAATGGATACGAGCGTGATCTAGCCAATAACTCTAAGGTTCATATCGTCGATGCATTTAATTCACTTATCTACCCTCAGGATCATGAAGCTCTTGAATGTACTTCAACTCCAATTCCGTTGTCAAGTCCTGATCTTAAACGTGATGATAAATATCTTCCTTTAATTCAATCAAATATATTTCAATCATTTCACAAATTTCGTAAGTTTTATCAATTTATATTTATATACATATTATGTTTCTATTAAAGAAGCTTTATTTAAAATTTTTATTTAGATCCAAACTTTGTTATATATAATGCTGGAACGGATTGTTTAGAGGGTGATCCGTTGGGAGCTATGAATCTTTCATCTGATGCAATTTTAAAAAGAGATGAACTTGTTTTTCGAATGGCTCTAGATCATGGAATTCCTATTGCTATGGTTTTAAGTGGTGGCTATCAAAAGAAAAATGCTGAAATTATTGCATCAAGTATTCTAAACTTGATCAAGAAATTTGATCTGTTAGGGAAACGGAAAAAAAGTTCTGACAAGAGTCTCAATTCACCCTAAAATATACACTAATCAAGTTGGGTTACTTTAATTTAAAAAAAATGTATTATATTTAATATTACTATTAATTTTTGAAAATGAAATTCGAATTTCTTAGCAAATAATTCAAATTATTAGCTTTATTATCAAAAATGTAAATATATATATATTTTTTAAATTTTTTATTTTTTTTGAATCATAACATTATATTAATTTTTTTAAAAAATTTTAAAGTTATAATTAAATATATTAAACTTTATTAATTAGGCCATGCAAAATTAATTAATTGATTTTCATAACCCGACCGGGTCAAAATTTGAAAATTTGTAAAAAAATTTTTTTAGGGTTCAATAACCCGGATAACCCGGTGGTTTTTAAAAAAAATGCCGGCCGGGTCTGATTAGAAGTTTTATATTATGAAAATCAAAGACATTAAGGATATTAAATTTGTGTAGTCTTATATAAAACATTATATTTTATATATGATGTTTTAAAAATT